AGTACGGATTGTAAGTTTAATCAGGTACTTAAGGTTGTGATTTTACAAGTGTGTTATTTAATTCATCAGCATTAATGTGGCAAGCTGTCCCTTCTCGTTGTTTTTCTACTCCAATACTTGTAATATTCTTCCAGAATTCTTTTCCAGATGACTCATTATTGAATTTCTGTTGATAGAATTTCCTTACAGCTATCCAGCATGACTTATTTACTTCTATTCTGAAGGAACTGTATTGCTTGTCCAAGTATTCTGTTTTGTAGCGTTTCCACTTTCTATAGGCCCTATCACACGCATTTATGGCATTTTGTATTTCCGTGCTAATCCATGGGTGCTCACTCGGCTTAGAAACTCAATGTTACTGTTAAAGAATTTGAGATTTGGCGTGCAGATTCCTGAGCTTCTTACGCAGCGCAAGTTTGTTTCAGCAATGTGCCACGCCCACTTTTACGCCCACAAACCGCCCAAAACTGTGGCTCCTACAGTTTTGATGCTAGAGTAAAATTTTTAACTGAAATGTATTCTCCTCATCAATACCTATCGATTGATCTAAAAAAAAGTTTGCCACGCCCACTCTAACGCCCACAAGCCGCCCAAACCTGTGACGCCCACAGTTTTCATGCTAGATAGAAAATTTTAACTGAAATGTATTGGTCTCGTCAATACCTATTGATTGATCCAAAAAAAATTTTTGGTCGTTCCAATGGGACCATTGTATGTACAGAGCGGTTCGATTCTTAGAAACCTAAAAAGTAATTACAGAAATATTAAGATAATGGTAAATTTTAATTAACTACCGTATATGCTTACCGAAAACGAAATATAACGGTCTTTGTGTTATTTTGACATTTATTTTCCGATCCTTTCTATAGCAGCTATATGATACAATAGTTCGATTCGAATTAAATTGAATTCTTAATTCTGAAATATTAAAAAGATAAAGTACTGGAGTGGAAGAGAATTTGATAAAAAATAACGAAGCTATACATTTTTTGATATTATTTTCCCCTTAATTATCGGATAGATCCTATGGTAGCTATATGATACAGTCGTCCGATTTCTTTTTAAGTTGTATTCAAAATTCTGAAATATTAAAACAATGATATTACCAAGAGTATAAGTTGTATTTTTTGTTAGATTTTTTTAAAAATTATTTTTTGTTTATCATTATTATTGGAGCAACAGTGTGTAGTTTTCCGATCTGGCTCGTTCCGACTTATATTCTATTCTATCTGCAATAGAAATAAAACTTTCAGTCCACCGCGGATACCCAACAAATTGTTGACATATGAGTGTGCTGTGAGATGTTGTTTTAGTTGTTTTTAATTTAAATTGTAATGCCAACGTGCAGCTTACTGTATTGTTAAATGTTGAGCCTCCGTTCATGTGAGTCGACGTTATATTTATCGTTGTAGCGGGGCCCTGGGTTTAGCTAGCCTGGCAAAAGCTCACAGAACCACACAGGTTACTATAATCTCCCCTTTGGGAGATCGTTCATTAATAGAGGGTCCCTAAGATAAAAAGTGTTCGCGTGGTGGATAAGCATATACCTTTTAAGCTCGACTAAGCAACGGAGTTGACTTGCTATATGTAATGCAAAGAAACATTTTTACCATATGTGATATAAGCCTATGATATAGCCATATTTAAGTATATAGATATAATAAATATAGATCTTATGGATTAACAAGACCGAGACAGAAAGTAGCCGACGACTATGTCAGATATTTTAAACTGGCATATCGCAATCAGCAAAAAGGAGGAAGTTAACAGCGACATGGCTAATTCGCGCGAGTTAACAAAATAATATCAGACAGACACGGACGGTTAGGGAATCTACAGATTTAAGATACTCATTGCGTCTTGTTATTATTAATATTATTTATTTATCTTTCTAGCGCTAAAAATATAACTAGTCACAAGAAAAGATTTACAGTCTTACAGAAAGTTTTACAAAAATTACTTTAACATACACGTTTTGATTATTTTATAGGTAATGGTTATCAATAGTACAATTTTCAATTCTTATTTAGTATAATGTTGAATGTATAATTAGTTGTGTGTGAATGGGGGCTAGTTATTTTTTAACTTTAATAATAATTCTTTTCGAAACAGTCTAGCACTTCTTGAATTCTTTAAACTGTGTGGTAAATTATTCCAAAGCTTAACAGCCCATGCAAAGAAGTGATTTTCTCGAGGAGTAGTGGTTTCTTGTTGGTATTATACTATTAGTTCTGGTTGACAGTGCAAGGTGACTATTTTGTGGAAAGGAATCGGTGTCCTATATTCGACTAATGTGGAAAAGTCTAGTCCAAAGATTTTTTTAGCATAACTCGAAATTGAATCGTGTGGCTTAGTATTGAAAACAAATCTTGCTATGTTGTTGTATGTTACGGTCAATTTATTTCTACTTATTGAGTCACACTTTTCAAATATTTGAACGCAATATAATAATGATGGAATTATAATCAACTTTGCTAATGCCATTACTATGGGTTGGTAACATGTTCTGGATCAGTTTTATTTGCTATAGTTGACAACAAGTCTTACCAACCATATAATTAATATGGTGGGACCACTAAAGGGTACTGTTAAACACAATTCCAAGGTTATTTGCTTGACTTACATATTTAATCTCATCAGTATCAACCCTGAGTATTTGCATTGGTGCGTTTATTTATTTTTTAGAAATAACCAAACATTTAGATTTTTTTGGATTTATTTGCTCAATTGCTTACTAGTTTAAGTTCAGTATTAATGACGTCAATACATATACATATACAATATATTTTCAGATATACAGCTATAGGGACGGCTCACATACATATTTGCATATCGTCAGCATACATCTGCACTTCACAATTAGACCAGACATTTGGAAGATCATTCACATATATCGAAAACAGTAATGTTCCAAGGAACGACCCTTGGGGGACACCGCGCTTAGTGAATAGAAAGCCGGAGGTCTCAGACTCCTTTACAAAACATTGAGATCGGCCCATTAGGTATGTTCTTATCAAGCTTATAGCTTGAAAAATTGTATAGTTTTTCTATTTTATTGCAAAATGTCGAAAGCCTTACTATAGTCTAGCAGTGTATGAAATGTAACTTGCCTATTATCAGATTTCATGTGAATATCCTATGAGATTTTTAAGATTGCTGTTTTACAACTACGGTTTTTCCGAAAGCGATGTTGTCTTGTATTCAACAGTGAATTATCGTGAAGATACATATTAATTTGTGTGGAGACTAGTAGCTTAAGTGCTTTAGATAAAAATAAAAGTATAGATATCGGTCTATATTCACCCTTTGTTTTTTGTATGGGAAGTAGTTTGGCTGTCTTCCAACATTTTAGAAATGTAGAAGATGTTATTGCGGTATTTAAAATGTGTATTATGTTAAGAGTAGCCTGGAGACAAGGACTAGTAAAAATTTTGGATTTTATTCTTAACATGGACTGTAGGACATCACACTTGTTGTATGGCAATGTGCTCAAGTACGGATTGTAAGTTTAATCAGGTACTTAAGGTTGTGATTTTACAAGTGTGTTATTTAATTCATCAGCATTAATGTGGCAAGCTGTCCCTTCTCGTTGTTTTTCTACTCCAATACTTGTAATATTCTTCCAGAATTCTTTTCCAGATGACTCATTATTGAATTTCTGTTGATAGAATTTCCTTACAGCTATCCAGCATGACTTATTTACTTCTATTCTGAAGGAACTGTATTGCTTGTCCAAGTATTCTGTTTTGTAGCGTTTCCACTTTCTATAGGCCCTATCACACGCATTTATGGCATTTTGTATTTCCGTGCTAATCCATGGGTGCTCACTCGGCTTAGAAACTCAATGTTACTGTTAAAGAATTTGTCGTGTCCTGCTTTTCGCGCAGTGCAGATGACGGCTAGTCAACGAACATCCCAGGGAGGGGAACAACCAACAATGTTGTCTACGCAGCAGACACAACAAAAACAAAAACGGAAATTCAAACTCGGACAACGGCAATTTCACGACGGATTTCTCTTGAACATCTGGAACTGGACAACACAGCTCTTATTGTGGTCCTGGAGTCCCTCCCAACCATGAGTGTATCCTTCAACATCCTTTAAACACATCTCCCAAACCTGTTCGGTGGATCGTGCTACCTCGCCTAACTCATCTCACCCCCCAACACGAATTTCTACTCACACGACTTCATTTCTTTTCACGTTATAATTCACAATTTTCTCTTAAATTTTAACATTTAATAATCCTACCTACGGTACCGAACTTTTACAGGGAACACATATATATATATATAAATAAATAAATAACAATAAACAATATTCCAATAGTAAATAAATAGGTTAAATAAATAAATAATTTAAATGGATATAAGTGGGAATAAATTAATTTGGGCGTGTTACATAATCAATAACAGCAGTCTCAATTTTTTTGGATTCATTTTTGGCTTGTTGAATTTGTTTGCCGCTTGTAGTTTTCGAGAACCTTTTGCTAATTCTGGGTGGCAAATATAAGGGGCGAATAAAAACCTGGGGCCAACCGGGGATGAGTGGCCAATTTTCTTGTCGAAAATGTAGATCTCCTCCTGGTGGCTGGTCTTCGTCTCTCCTTACGTCAGTATATTTTCCTGATCCAGGCTTTTCCCTCACGGAATATTCTATAAATATTTATATTTCAACTCCACTCACATTAACAAGGATTTTTTTATCACTCACTGGGTAGGAACTTGACTTCTAATCTTATATATATTTTTTTCCACCAGAACCGTCTGCGACCAACTATATTTGCCCTTTAAACACCCTTGCTTGATTCAATTTTTCAAGCCTCTCTTCGCCCAAAAACCACTCAAACTTTTCGAATTTCAACCTTGGTTCATTTGGGAGTTACCCGGTTTAAGGAACCAGTTCCATGACTTGTCTAAGCTGCACGACTCCCTGAACTCACGAGTCGTCGATAGTGTTGTATCGATTTTTCGCCTATCGTTATCAGTCTTAAGGTAAACAGCTTTGCTAAATTCCAATTTGTGCATATTTTTGTCGTTTAGCACATAACAAATTCTAACTGTGAACCAACATTGGGAATTGTATACAATGCTTGCCAGTTAAAAGAGTTACATTAGTTTGAGTATGGTGGTACAGATACCTGGTCATATGAAACGATTTTACTTGCGCCATCCACGAAAAATGCGTGAAGTTAGGTTTGTGAGGATTTTGAAAAATGGGTAGGAAATGTGACATTTGTTCGCCGAAGTCCGAGGGATCATAGTTCTGCGCAGAGACTCAGTGAAAATATTACTGTTGAAATCACCGGTTAAAGCAACATTTTTGTAAGTCCCTGTTAGGGCAGTCAGATTGGCAATTATCAAGAATGTATATATTTATAGGGTCGGAAACGCTTCCTTCTGCCTGTTACATACTTTCCGACGAATCTAGTATACCCTTTTACTCTACGAATAACGGGTATAAAAAAACCGAAAAGTATGCAATTTTTTTTTGATTTTGGCTTTGATTATGTATGTTATATATCAATCTAAAACATTTTATTTTTAATTAATAAAAAGTTAAATCTTTTAAGCTGATATTTTCTAACTATCCTAGGGAGGAACTTACATATTTTTGGTCAAAAAAATGAACTTTCTGGCCCAGTGTGAGTACTAGGCTGTACAACGAGTGGGTTTCCAATAAAACTGTCAGAAGCCGCGTAACCTATTTAAGCATTGTGGCTCCGCTAAAGTACGTCAGTTTTGTTACAATAGTGTATTGACTGTCATGCCGGCACCCCATTCCCCCAATTGCAAGCAGTTTTTCGGAATGTTTTTAGCATGTTCAGCGGGCAATCAGTGTTCCAAGAAAGAGGAGATTTAAAAACACAAACCAAACCGGATTCCAAACATGAATGTATCGGGGCGGGAAGTTTCAGTTAACAAGGTTTACATGTCCCTATAGAGCACGGCGATAAAAAGAGGTACGGGGTCGATTATTTGGGGAGAATCAGCTGGCTGGGATGACGGACATCACAAAGAGGGTGAGGAAGTCCTGAAAGTGGCTTAGAAAACGTTAACGGGACAGACAGAAACTACAGCTAATAGTGACAGCAATCGGGATCGCAGGATATGGGCAAGGAGGATCCTCGTCCATATGCGATTGCTGGACTGGGGAGCATCAGTGAGCTTGCTGGAAAAACGGTTTTCGGGTGCTGGTCAATAAATTGAACACCTCATGGCGACCATATCACGCAATGGTACGAAAAGCAAACGGGTCGGGGTACAAACTATTGGGTGGAATCGCAGTGCCCACTACTCTTAAAATCAGAACGGTGGACATTTATCTATTCGTATCCTTACATTGGAGCCAGAGCTGTACCTGTGAGTGGACATTTGGAAAAGTTTCAACGTAGAACCGGAAGTTTTTGGAAATTGAGAAGATCCCAGCCATCCCATAAGTGGAAAACCCGCCTATAATGACCGAACCGAAACATCAGAAGCTGAGGACAACAGCAGTTGGAGGTAGTCCGGAAATACTTTCTGTCGTTTGAAGAAAATGAACAGGGGCAAACTGCGAAGATGAAGCATACCATAGAGCTGGTTCCAGGTGCCACGACCGTCAAAGGTCGTCACTATCCGGTTTATCCAGCAGAGCAGCAGCTGATCTACGAGAAAATCGATGAGATGCTCCGTTGGTGTCATAAGAGCCAGGAAAGAACCGCATAAGCTTGAATGCTAGGAAGCTCAACCAGAGGACTGTTAAGGATGCATATCCGGAACAGAACATTGAAGATATTTGGAGTAGGATGAGCACTAGGACACTCTGAGGGAAGTCTATCCATGCCCGAATGAAGCAGGTCTGACTACCGGGCTTAAGAAGTACCACTTCTGCTTTAAAGAGCTTCGGACTTTGTTATTCTTTAGTGGCATAGGAGTTTTAAAAATTGATCCTGGCAAGGTGGAGGCGATCAAAAATAAGCCGATTCAAAGAAGTTGCAAGGAGGTTTTTCCAAAATTTTGCGGAGCTGGCAGCCCCACTGACAGACAAAATGATCAAGAAGGCCATGGAAGCTATGAGGCGACTGAAGGAAGCGTTCATGACAACGGCAGTGTTGCGTCATACAGACTCTAAGAAGATATATTTTCTCCAATGCAATGCTTCGAAAAAAGCGGAGGAAGGTAAAGGCTCAACATTTTTCTTCCTGAAACTCAATCCTTGCAAGCGAAACTATAGCGTGACGGAGGAGTGCTACGCAATCAAACGGTTCAGACCCTACATCGAAATGATGCCGCTCACTGTAGCCTGAAATTGCTGATGTCACTTAAGAACCTTAGCGGCAAGATGGTCGCTGATTGTTTTTTTTTTTTAATCAATCAAGGAGCTAGGGGCGCTAGGTGACGTCGATCTAGGTGACGGTATAGGCTAGGTGTGTTAGTGAAAAAGCATAGTTGCTCCATCCCTCTCGCACTCCCTTTAGCTGAGTAACGGGTAACTAATAGTCGAGGCCATCGACTGTTGCGTTTTCTTTGTTTTTAATGCACTTTAAAGAATTTGTAGTATTTATACCCGTTACTCGTAGTGTAAAAGGGTATACTAGATTCGTCGGAAAGTATATAACAGGCAGAAGGAAGCGTTTCCGACCCCATAAAGTATATATATTCTTGATCAGGATCACTAGCCGAGTCGATGTAGCCATGTCCGTCTGTCCGGATGAACGTTGAGCTCTCGGAAACTATAAGAGCTAGGCTATTGAGATTTGGCGTGCAGATTCCTGAGCTTCTTACGCAGCGTAAGTTTGTTTCAGCAATGTGCCACGCCCACAAACCGCCCAAAACTGTGGCTCCTACAGTTTTGATGCTAGAGTAAAATTTTTAACTGAAATGTATTCTCCTCATCAATACCTATCGATTGATCTAAAAAAAAGTTTGCCACGCCCACTCTAACGCCCATAAGCCGCCCAAACCTGTGACGCCCACAGTTTTCATGCTAGATAAAAAATTTTAACTGAAATGTATTGGTCTCGTCAATACCTATTGATTGATCCAAAAAAATTTTTGGTCGTTCCAATGGGACCATTGTATGTACAGAGCGGTTCGATTCTTAGAAACCTAAAAAGTAATTACAGAAATATTAAGATAATGGTAAATTTTAATTAACTACCGTATATGCTTACCGAAAACGAAATATAACGGTCTTTGTGTTATTTTGACATTTATTTTCCGATCCTTTCTATGGCAGCTATATGATACAATAGTTCGATTCGAATTAAATTGAATTCTTAATTCTGAAATATTAAAAAGATAAAGTACTGGAGTGGAAGAGAATTTGATAAAAAATAACGAAGCTATACATTTTTTGATATTATTTTCCCCTTAATTATCGGATAGATCCTATGGTAGCTATATGATACAGTCGTCCGATTTCTTTTTAAGTTGTATTCAAAATTCTGAAATATTAAAACAATGATATTACCAAGAGTATAAGTTGTATTTTTTGTTAGATTTTTTAAAAATTATTTTTTGTTTATCATTATTATTGGAGCAACAGTGTGTAGTTTTCCGATCTGGCTCGTTCCGACTTATATTCTATTCTATCTGCAATAGAAATAAAACTTTCAGTCCACCGCGGATACCCAACAAATTGTTGACATATGAGTGTGCTGCGAGATGTTGTTTTAGTTGTTTTTAATTTAAATTGTAATGCCAACGTGCAGCTTACTGTATTGTTAAATGCTGAGCCTCCGTTCATGTGAGTCGACGTTATATTTATCGTTGTAGCGGGGCCCTGGATTTAGCTAGCCTGGCAAAAGCTCACAGAACCACACAGGTTACTATAATCTCCCCTTTGGGAGATCGTTCATTAATAGAGGGTCCCTAAGATAAAAAGTGTTCGCGTGGTGGATAAGCATATACCTTTTAAGCTCGACTAAGCAACGGAGTTGACTTGCGATATGTAATGCAAAGAAACATTTTTACCATATGTGATATAAGCCTATGATATAGCCATATTTAAGTATATAGATATAATAAATATAGATTTTATGGATTAACAAGACCGAGACAGAAAGTAGCCGACGACTATGTCAGATATTTTAAACTGGCATATCGCAATCAGCAAAAAGGATGAAGTTAACAGCGACATGGCTAATTCGCGCGAGTTAACAAAATAATATCAGACAGACACGGACGGTTAGGGAATCTACAGATTTAAGATACTCATTGCGTCTTGTTATTATTAATATTATTTATTTATCTTTCTAGCGCTAAAGTTAAAAATATAACTTAAATATAAAACACTAGTCACAAGAAAAGATTTACAGTCTTACAGAAAGTTTTACAAAAATTACTTTAACATACACGTTTTGATTATTTTATAGGTAATGGTTATCAATAGTACAATTTTCAATTCTTATTTAGTATAATGTTGAATGTATAATTAGTTGTGTGTGAATGGGGGCTAGTTATTTTTTAACTTTAATAATAATTCTTTTCGAAACAGTCTAGCACTTCTTGAATTCTTTAAACTGTGTGGTAAATTATTCCAAAGCTTAACAGCCCATGCAAAGAAGTGATTTTCTCGAGGAGTAGTGGTTTCTTGTTGGTATTATACTATTAGTTCTGGTTGACAGTGCAAGGTGACTATTTTGTGGAAAGGAATCGGTGTCCTAAATTCGACTAATGTGGAAAAGTCTAGTCCAAAGATTTTTTTAGCATAACTCGAAATTGAATCGTGTGGCTTAGTATTGAAAACAAATCTTGCTTTGTTGTTGTATGTTACGGTCAATTTATTTCTACTTATTGAGTCACACTTTTCAAATATTTGAACGCAATATAATAATGATGGAATTATAATCGACCTTGCTAATGCCATTACTATGGGTTGGTAACATGTTCTGGATCAGTTTTATTTGCTATAGTTGACACCAAGTCTTACCAACCATATAATTAATATGGTGGGACCACTAAAGGGTACTGTTAAACACAATTCCAAGGTTATTTGCTTGACTTACATATTTAATCTCATCAGTATCAACCCTGAGTATTTGCATTGGTGCGTTTATTTATTTTTTAGAAATAACCAAACATTTAGATTTTTTTGGATTTATTTGCTCAATTGCTTACTAGTTTAAGTTCAGTATTAATGACGTCAATACATATACATATACAATATGTTTTCAGATATACAGCTATAGGGACGGCTCACATACATATTTGCATATCGTCAGCATACATCTGCACTTCACAATTAGACCAGACATTTGGAAGATCATTCACATATATCGAAAACAGTAATGTTCCAAGGAACGACCCTTGGGGGACACCGCGCTTAGTGAATAGAAAGCCGGAGGTCTCAGACTCCTTTACAAAACATTGAGATCGGCCCATTAGGTATGTTCTTATCAAGCTTATAGCTTGAAAAATTGTATAGTTTTTCTATTCTATTGCAAAATGTCGAAAGCCTTACTATAGTCTAGCAGTGTATGAAATGTAACTTGCCTATTATCAGATTTCATGCGAATATCCCATGAGATTTTTAAGATTGCTGTTTTACAACTACGGTTTTTCCGAAAGCGATGTTGTCTTGTATTCAACAGTGAATTATCGTGAAGATACATATTAATTTGTGTGGAGACTAGTAGCTTAAGTGCTTTAGATAAAAATTAAAGTATAGATATCGGTCTATATTCACCCTTTGTTTTTGGTATGGGAAGTAGTTTGGCTGTCTTCCAACATTTTAGAAATGTAGAAGATGTTATTGCGGTATTTAAAATGTGTATTATGTTAAGAGTAGCCTGGAGACAAGGACTAGTAAAAATTTTGGATTTTATTCTTAACATGGACTGTAGGACATCACACTTGTTGTATGGCAATGTGCTCAAGTACGGATTGTAAGTTTAATCAGGTACTTAAGGTTGTGATTTTACAAGTGTGTTATTTAATTCATCAGCATTAATGTGGCAAGCTGTCCCTTCTCGTTGTTTTTCTACTCCAATACTTGTAATATTCTTCCAGAATTCTTTTCCAGATGACTCATTATTGAATTTCTGTTGATAGAATTTCCTTACAGCTATCCAGCATGACTTATTTACTTCTATTCTGAAGGAACTGTATTGCTTGTCCAAGTATTCTGTTTTGTAGCGTTTCCACTTTCTATAGGCCCTATCACACGCATTTATGGCATTTTGTATTTCCGTGCTAATCCATGGGTGCTCACTCGGCTTAGAAACTCAATGTTACTGTTAAAGAATTTGAGATTTGGCGTGCAGATTCCTGAGCTTCTTACGCAGCGCAAGTTTGTTTCAGCAATGTGCCACGCCCACTTTTACGCCCACAAACCGCCCAAAACTGTGGCTCCTACAGTTTTGATGCTAGAGTAAAATTTTTAACTGAAATGTATTCTCCTCATCAATACCTATCGATTGATCTAAAAAAAAGTTTGCCACGCCCACTCTAACGCCCACAAGCCGCCCAAACCTGTGACGCCCACAGTTTTCATGCTAGATAGAAAATTTTAACTGAAATGTATTGGTCTCGTCAATACCTATTGATTGATCCAAAAAAAATTTATGGTCGTTCCAATGGGACCATTGTATGTACAGAGCGGTTCGATTCTTAGAAACCTAAAAAGTAATTACAGAAATATTAAGATAATGGTAAATTTTAATTAACTACCGTATATGCTTACCGAAAACGAAATATAACATTTATTTTCCGATCCTTTCTATGGCAGCTATATGATACAATAGTTCGATTCGAATTAAATTGAATTCTTAATTCTGAAATATTAAAAAGATAAAGTACTGGAGTGGAAGAGAATTTGATAAAAAATAACGAAGCTATACATTTTTTGATATTATTTTCCCCTTAATTATCGGATAGATCCTATGGTAGCTATATGATACAGTCGTCCGATTTCTTTTTAAGTTGTATTCAAAATTCTGAAATATTAAAACAATGATATTACCAAGAGTATAAGTTGTATTTTTTGTTAGATTTTTTAAAAATTATTTTTTGTTTATCATTATTATTGGAGCAACAGTGTGTAGTTTTCCGATCTGGCTCGTTCCAACTTATATTCTATTCTATCTGCAATAGAAATAAAACTTTCAGTCCACCGCGGATACCCAACAAATTGTTGACATATGAGTGTGCTGCGAGATGTTGTTTTAGTTGTTTTTAATTTAAATTGTAATGCCAACGTGCAGCTTACTGTATTGTTAAATGTTGAGCCTCCGTTCATGTGAGTCGACGTTATATTTATCGTTGTAGCGGGTCCTGGATTTAGCTAGCCTGGCAAAAGCTCACAGAACCACACAGGTTACTATAATCTCCCCTTTGGGAGATCGTTCATTAATAGAGGGTCCCTAAGATAAAAAGTGTTCGCGTGGTGGATAAGCATATACCTTTTAAGCTCGACTAAGCAACGGAGTTGACTTGCGATATGTAATGCAAAGAAACATTTTTACCATATGTGATATAAGCCTATGATATAGCCATATTTAAGTATATAGATATAATAAATATAGATTTTATGGATTAACAAGACCGAGACAGAAAGTAGCCGACGACTATGTCAGATATTTTAAACTGGCATATCGCAATCAGCAAAAAGGATGAAGTTAACAGCGACATGGCTAATTCGCGCGAGTTAACAAAATAATATCAGACAGACACGGACGGTTAGGGAATCTACAGATTTAAGATACTCATTGCGTCTTGTTATTATTAATATTATTTATTTATCTTTCTAGCGCTAAAGTTAAAAATATAACTTAAATATAAAACACTAGTCACAAGAAAAGATTTACAGTCTTACAGAAAGTTTTACAAAAATTACTTTAACATACACGTTTTGATTATTTTATAGGTAATGGTTATCAATAGTACAATTTTCAATTCTTATTTAGTATAATGTTGAATGTATAATTAGTTGTGTGTGAATGGGGGCTAGTTATTTTTTAACTTTAATAATAATTCTTTTCGAAACAGTCTAGCACTTCTTGAATTCTTTAAACTGTGTGGTAAATTATTCCAAAGCTTAACAGCCCATGCAAAGAAGTGATTTTCTCGAGGAGTAGTGGTTTCTTGTTGGTATTATACTATTAGTTCTGGTTGACAGTGCAAGGTGACTATTTTGTGGAAAGGAATCGGTGTCCTAAATTCGACTAATGTGGAAAAGTCTAGTCCAAAGATTTTTTTAGCATAACTCGAAATTGAATCGTGTGGCTTAGTATTGAAAACAAATCTTGCTATGTTGTTGTATGTTACGGTCAATTTATTTCTACTTATTGAGTCACACTTTTCAAATATTTGAACGCAATATAATAATGATGGAATTATAATCGACTTTGCTAATGCCATTACTATGGGTTGGTAACATGTTCTGGATGAGTTTTATTTGCTGTAGTTGACAACAAGTCTTACCAACCATATAATTAATATGGTGGGACCACTAAAGGGTACTGTTAAACACAATTCCAAGGTTATTTGCTTGACTTACATATTTAATCTCATCAGTATCAACCCTGAGTATTTGCATTGGTGCGTTTATTTATTTTTTAGAAATAACCAAACATTTAGATTTTTTTGGATTTATTTGCTCAATTGCTTACTAGTTTAAGTTCAGTATTAATGACGTCAATACATATACATATACAATATGTTTTCAGATATACAGCTATAGGGACGGCTCACATACATATTTGCATATCGTCAGCATACATCTGCACTTCACAATTAGACCAGACATTTGGAAGATCATTCACATATATCGAAAACAGTAATGTTCCAAGGAACGACCCTTGGGGGACACCGCGCTTAGTGAATAGAAAGCCGGAGGTCTCAGACTCCTTTACAAAACATTGAGATCGGCCCATTAGGTATGTTCTTATCAAGCTTATAGCTTGAAAAATTGTATAGTTTTTCTATTCTATTGCAAAATGTCGAAAGCCTTACTATAGTCTAGCAGTGTATGAAATGTAACTTGCCTATTATCAGATTTCATGCGAATATCCCATGAGATTTTTAAGATTGCTGTTTTACAACTACGGTTTTTCCGAAAGCGATGTTGTCTTGTATTCAACAGTGAATTATCGTGAAGATACATATTAATTTGTGTGGAGACTAGTAGCTTAAGTGCTTTAGATAAAAATTAAAGTATAGATATCGGTCTATATTCACCCTTTGTTTTTGGTATGGGAAGTAGTTTGGCTGTCTTCCAACATTTTAGAAATGTAGAAGATGTTATTGCGGTATTTAAAATGTGTATTATGTTAAGAGTAGCCTGGAGACAAGGACTAGTAAAAATTTTGGATTTTATTCTTAACATGGACTGTAGGACATTACACTTGTTGTATGGCAATGTGCTCAAGTACGGATTGTAAGTTTAATCAGGTACTTAAGGTTGTGATTTTACAAGTGTGTTATTTATTTCATCAGCATTAATGTGGCAAGCTGTCCCTTCTTGTTGTTGTTCTACTCCAATACTTGTAATATTCTTCCAGAATTCTTTTCCAGATGACTCATTATTGAATTTCTGTTGATAGAATTTCCTTACAGCTATCCAGCATGACTTATTTACTTCTATTCTGAAGGAACTGTATTGCTTGTCCAAGTATTCTGTTTTGTAGCGTTTCCACTTTCTATAGGCCCTATCACACGCATTTATGGCATTTCGTATTTCCGTGCTAATCCATGGGTGCTCACTCGGCTTAGAAACTCAATGTTACTGTTAAAGAATTTGTCGTGTCCTGCTTTTCGCGCAGTGCAGATGACGGCTAGTCAACGAACATCCCAGGGAGGGGAACAACCAACAATGTTGTCTACGCAGCAGACACAACAAAAACAAAAACGGAAATTCAAACTCAGACAACGGCAATTTCACGACGAATTTCTCTTGAACATCTGGAACTGGACAACACAGCTCTTATTGTGGTCCTGGAGTCCCTCCCAACCATGAGTGTATCCTTCAACATCCTTTGGACACATCTCCCAAACCTGTTCGGTGGATCGTGCTACCTCGCCTAACTCATCTCACCCCCCAACACGAATTTCTACTCACACGACTTCATTTCTTTTCACGTTATAATTCACAATTTTCTCTTAAATTTTAACATTTAATAATCCTACCTACGGTACCGAACTTTTACAGGGAACACATATATATATATATAAATAAATAAATAACAATAAACAATATTCCAATAGTAAATAAATAGGTTAAATAAATAAATAATTTAAATGGATATAAGTGGGAATAAATTAATTTGGGCGGGTTACATAATCAATAACAGCAGTCTCAATTTTTTTGTATTCATTTTTGGCTTGTTGAATTTGTTTGCCGCTTGTAGTTTTCGAGAACCTTTTGCTAATTCTGGGTGGCAAATATAAGGGGCGAATAAAAACCTGGGGCCACCCGGGGATGAGTGGCCAATTTTCTTGTCGAAAATGTAGATCTCCTCCTGGTGGCTGGTCTTCGTCTCTCCTTACGTCAGTATATTTTCCTGATCCAGGCTTTTCCCTCACGGAATATTCTATAAATATTTATATTTCAACTCCACTCACATTAACAAGGATTTTTTTATCACTCACTGGGTAGGAACTTGACTTCTAATCTTATATATATTTTTTTCCACCAGAACCGTCTGCGACCAACTATATTTGCCCTTTAAACACCCTTGCTTGTTTCAATTTTTCAAGCCTCTCCTCGCCCAAAAACCACTCAAACTTTTCGAATTTCAACCTTGGTTCATTTGGGAGTTATCCGGTTTAAGGAACCAGTTCCATGACTTGTCTAAGCTGCACGACTCCCTGAACTCACGAGTCGTCGATAGTGTTGTATCGATTTTTCGCCTATCGTTATCAGTCTTAAGGTAAACAGCTTTGCTAAATTCCAATTTGTGCATATTTTTGTCGTTTAGCACATAACAAATTCTAACTGTGAACCAACATTGGGAATTGTATACAATGCTTGCCAGTTAAAAGAGTTACATTAGTTTGAGTATGGTGGTACAGATACCTGGTCATATGAAACGATTTTACTTGCGCCATCCACGAAAAATGCGTGAAGTTAGGTTTGTGAGGATTTTGAAAAATGGGTAGGAAATGTGACATTTGTTCGCCGAAGTCCGAGGGATCATAGTTCTGCGCAGAGACTCAGTGAAAATATTACTGTTGAAATCACCGGTTAAAGCAACATTTTTGTAAGTCCCTGTTAGGGCAGTCAGATTGGCAATTATCAAGAATGTATATATTTATAGGGTCGGAAACGCTTCCTTCTGCCTGTTACATACTTTCCGACGAATCTAGTATACCCTTTTACTCTACGAATAACGGGTATAAAAAAACCGAAAAGTATGCAATTTTTTTTTGATTTTGGCTTTGATTATGTATGTTATATATCAATCTAAAACATTTTATTTTTAATTAATAAAAAGTTAAATCTTTTAAGCTGATATTTTCTAACTATCCTAGGGAGGAACTTACATATTTTTGGTCAAAAAAATGAACTTTCTGGCCCAGTGTGAGTACTAGGCTGTACAACGAGTGGGTTTCCAATAAAACTGTCAGAAGCCGCGTAACCTATTTAAGCATTGTGGCTCCGCTAAAGTACGTCAGTTTTGTTACAATAGTGTATTGACCGTCATGCCGGCACCCCATTCCCCCAATTGCAAGCAGTTTTTCGGAATGTTTTTAGCATGTTCAGCGGGCAATCAGTGTTCCAAGAAAGAGGAGATTTAAAAACACAAACCAAACCGGATTCCAAACATGAATGTATCGGGGCGGGAAGTTTCAGTTAACAAGGTTTACATGTCCCTATAGAGCACGGCGATAAAAAGAGGTACGGGGTCGATTATTTGGGGAGAATCAGCTGGCTGGGATGACGGACATCACAAAGAGGGTGAGGAAGTCCTGAAAGTGGCTTAGAAAACGTTAACGGGACAGACAGAAACTACAGCTAATAGTGACAGCAATCGGGATCGCAGGATATGGGCAAGGAGGATCCTCGTCCATATGCGATTGCTGGACTGGGGAGCATCAGTGAGCTTGCTGGAAAAACGGTTTTCGGGTGCTGGTCAATAAATTGAACACTTCATGGCGACCATATCACGCAATGGTACGAAAAGCAAACGGGTCGGGGTACAATATATTGGGTGGAATCGCAGTGCCCACTACTCTTAAAATCAGAACGGTGGACATTTATCTATTCGTATCCTTACATTGGAGCCAGAGCTGTACCTGTGAGTGGACATTTGGAAAAGTTTCAACGTAGAACCGGAAGTGTTTGGAAATTGAGAAGATCCCAGCCATCCCATAAGTGGAAAACCCGCCTATAATGACCGAACCGAAACATCAGAAGCTGAGGACAACAGCAGTTGGAGGTAGTCCGGAAATACTTTCTGTCGTTTGAAGAAAATGAACTGGGGCAAACTGCGAAGATGAAGCATACCATAGAGCTGGTGCCAGGTGCCACGACCGTCAAAGGTCGTCACTATCCGGTTTATCCAGCAGAGCAGCAGCTGATCTACGAGAAAATCGATGAGATGCTCCGTTGGTGTCATAAGAGCCAGGAAAGAACCGCATAAGCTTGAATGCTAGGAAGCTCAACCAGAGGACTGTTAAGGATGCATATCCGGAACAGAACATTGAAGATATTTGGAGTAGGATGAGCACTAGGACACTCTGAGGGAAGTCTATCCATGCCCGAATGAAGCAGGTCTGACTACCGGGCTTAAGAAGTACCACTTCTGCTTTAAAGAGCTTCGGACTTTGTTATTCTTTAGTGGCATAGGAGTTTTAAAAATTGATCCTGGCAAGGTGGAGGCGATCAAAAATAAGCCGATTCAAAGAAGTTGCAAGGAGGTTTTTCCAAAATTTTGCGGAGCTGGCAGCCCCACTGACAGACAAAATGATCAAGAAGGCCATGGAAGCTATGAGGCGACTGAAGGAAGCGTTCATGACAACGGCAGTGTTGCGTCATACAGACTCTAAGAAGATATATTTTCTCCAATGCAATGCTTCGAAAAAAGCGGAGGAAGGTAAAGGCTCAACATTTTTCTTCCTGAAACTCAATCCTTGCAAGCGAAACTATAGCGTGACGGAGGAGTGCTACGCAATTAAACGGTTCAGACCCTACATCGAAATGATGCCGCTCACTGTAGCCTGAAATTGCTGATGTCACTTAAGAACCTTAGCGGCAAGATGGTCGCTGATTGTTTTTTTTTTTTAATCAATCAAGGAGCTAGGGGCGCTAGGTGACGTCGATCTAGGTGACGGTATAGGCTAGGTGTGTTAGTGAAAAAGCATAGTTGCTCCATCCCTCTCGCACTCCCTTTAGCTGAGTAACGGGTAACTAATAGTCGAGGCCCTCGACTGTTGCGTTTTCTTTGTTTTTAATGCACTTTAAAGAATTTGTAGTATTTATACCCGTTACTCGTAGTGTAAAAGGGTATACTAGATTCATCGGAAAGTATGTAACAGGCAGAAGGAAGCGTTTCCGACCCCATAAAGTATATCAGGATCACTAGCCGAGTCGATGTAGCCATGTCCGTCTGTCCGGATGAACGTTGAGCTCTCGGAAACTATAAGAGCTAGGCTATTGAGATTTGGCGTGCAGATTCCTGAGCTTCTTACGCAGCGCAAGTTTGTTTCAGCAATGTGCCACGCCCACTTTTACGCCCACAAACCGCCCAAAACTGTGGCTCCTACAGTTTTGATGCTAGAGTAAAATTTTTAACTGAAATGTATTCTCCTCATCAATACCTATCGATTGATCTAAAAAAAAGTTTGCCACGCCCACTCTAACGCCCACAAGCCGCCCAAACCTGTGACGCCCACAGTTTTCATGCTAGATACAAAATTTTAACTGAAATGTATTGGTCTCGTCAATACCTATTGATTGATCCAAAAAAAATTTTTGGTCGTTCCAATGGGACCATTGTATGTACAGAGCGGTTCGATTCTTAGAAACCTAAAAAGTAATTACAGAAATATTAAGATAATGGTAAATTTTAATTAACTACCGTATATGCTTACCGAAAACGAAATATAACGGTCTTTGTGTTATTTTGACATTTATTTTCCGATCCTTTCTATGGCAGCTATATGATACAATAGTTCGATTCGAATTAAATTGAATTCTTAATTCTGAAATATTAAAAAGATAAAGTACTGGAGTGGAAGAGAATTTGATAAAAAATAACGAAGCTATACATTTTTTGATATTATTTTTCCCTTAATTATCGGATAGATCCTATGGTAGCTATATGATACAGTCGTCCGATTTCTTTTTAAGTTGTATTCAAAATTCTGAAATATTAAAACAATGATATTACCAAGAGTATAAGTTGTATTTTTTGTTAGATTTTTTAAAAATTATTTTTTGTTTATCATTATTATTGGAGCAACAGTGTGTAGTTTTCCGATCTGGCTCGTTCCGACTTATATTCTATTCTATCTGCAATAGAAATAAAACTTTCAGTCCACCGCGGATACCCAACAAATTGTTGACATATGAGTGTGCTGTGAGATGTTGTTTTAGTTGTTTTTAATTTAAATTGTAATGCCAACGTGCAGCTTACTGTATTGTTAAATGTTGAGCCTCCGTTCATGTGTGTCGACGTTATATTTATCGTTGTAGCGGGGCCCTGGATTTAGCTAGCCTAGCAAAAGCTCACAGAACCACACAGGTTACTATAATCTCCCCTTTGGGAGATCGTTCATTAATAGAGGGTCCCTAAGATAAAAAGTGTTCGCGTGGTGGATAAGCATATACCTTTTAAGCTCGACTAAGCAACGGAGTTGACTTGCGATATGTAATGCAAAGAAACATTTTTACCATATGTGATATAAGCCTATGATATAGCCATATTTAAGTATATAGATATAATAAATATAGATTTTATGGATTAACAAGACCGAGACAGAAAGTAGCCGACGACTATGTCAGATATTTTAAACTGGCATATCGCAATCAGCAAAAAGGATGAAGTTAACAGCGACATGGCTAATTCGCGCGAGTTAACAAAATAATATCAGACAGACACGGACGGTTAGGGAATCTACAGATTTAAGATACTCATTGCGTCTTGTTATTATTAATATTATTTATTTATCTTTCTAGCGCTAAAGTTAAAAATATAACTTAAATATAAAACACTAGTCACAAGAAAAGATTTACAGTCTTACAGAAAGTTTTACAAAAATTACTTTAACATACACGTTTTGATTATTTTATAGGTAATGGTTATCAATAGTACAATTTTCAATTCTTATTTAGTATAATGTTGAATGTATAATTAGTTGTGTGTGAATGGGGGCTAGTTATTTTTTAACTTTAATAATAATTCTTTTCGAAACAGTCTAGCACTTCTTGAATTCTTTAAACTGTGTGGTAAATTATTCCAAAGCTTAACAGCCCATGCAAAGAAGTGATTTTCTCGAGGAGTAGTGGTTTCTTGTTGGTATTATACTATTAGTTCTGGTTGACAGTGCAAGGTGACTATTTTGTGGAAAGGAATCGGTTTCCTAAATTCGACTAATGTGGAAAAGTCTAGTCCAAAGATTTTTTTAGCATAACTCGAAATTGAATCGTGTGGCTTAGTATTGAAAACAAATCTTGCTTTGTTGTTGTATGTTACGGTCAATTTATTTCTACTTATTGAGTCACACTTTTCAAATATTTGAACGCAATATAATAATGATGGAATTATAATCGACCTTGCTAATGCCATTACTATGGGTTGGTAACATGTTCTGGATCAGTTTTATTTGCTATAGTTGACACCAAGTCTTACCAACCATATAATTAATATGGTGGGACCACTAAAGGGTACTGTTAAACACAATTCCAAGGTTATTTGCTTGACTTACATATTTAATCTCATCAGTATCAACCCTGAGTATTTGCATTGGTGCGTTTATTTATTTTTTAGAAATAACCAAACATTTAGATTTTTTTGGATTTATTTGCTCAATTGCTTACTAGTTTAATGACGTCAATACATATACATATACAATATGTTTTCAGATATACAGCTATAGGGACGGCTCACATACATATTTGCATATCGTCAGCATACATCTGCACTTCACAATTAGACCAGACATTTGGAAGATCATTCACATATATCGAAAACAGTAATGTTCCAAGGAACGACCCTTGGGGGACACCGCGCTTAGTGAATAGAAAGCCGGAGGTCTCAGACTCCTTTACAAAACATTGAGATCGGCCCATTAGGTATGTTCTTATCAAGCTTATAGCTTGAAAAATTGTATAGTTTTTCTATTTTATTGCAAAATGTCGAAAGCCTTACTATAGTCTAGCAGTGTATGAAATGTAACTTGCCTATTATCAGATTTCATGTGAATATCCTATGAGATTTTTAAGATTGCTGTTTTACAACTACGGTTTTTCCGAAAGCGATGTTGTCTTGTATTCAACAGTGAATTATCGTGAAGATACATATTAATTTGTGTGGAGACTAGTAGCTTAAGTGCTTTAGATAAAAATAAAAGTATAGATATCGGTCTATATTCACCCTTTGTTTTTGGTATGGGAAGTAGTTTGGCTGTCTTCCAACATTTTAGAAATGTAGAAGATGTTATTGCGGTATTTAAAATGTGTATTATGTTAAGAGTAGCCTGGAGACAAGGACTAGTAAAAATTTTGGATTTTATTCTTAACATGGACTGTAGGACATCACACTTGTTGTATGGCAATGTGCTCAAGTACGGATTGTAAGTTTAATCAGGTACTTAAGGTTGTGATTTTACAAGTGTGTTATTTAATTCATCAGCATTAATGTGGCAAGCTGTCCCTTCTCGTTGTTTTTCTACTCCAATACTTGTAATATTCTTCCAGAATTCTTTTCCAGATGACTCATTATTGAATTTCTGTTGATAGAATTTCCTTACAGCTATCCAGCATGACTTATTTACTTCTATTCTGAAGGAACTGTATTGCTTGTCCAAGTATTCTGTTTTGTAGCGTTTCCACTTTCTATAGGCCCTATCACACGCATTTATGGCATTTTGTATTTCCGTGCTAATCCATGGGTGCTCACTCGGCTTAGAAACTCAATGTTACTGTTAAAGAATTTGTCGTGTCCTGCTTTTCGCGCAGTGCAGATGACGGCTAGTCAACGAACATCCCAGGGAGGGGAACAACCAACAATGTTGTCTACGCAGCAGACACAACAAAAACAAAAACGGAAATTCAAACTCGGACAACGGCAATTTCACGACGGATTTCTCTTGAACATCTGGAACTGGACAATACAGCTCTTATTGTGGTCCTGGAGTCCCTCCCAACCATGAGTGTATCCTTCAACATCCTTTGGACACATCTCCCAAACCTGTTCGGTGGATCGTGCTACCTCGCCTAACTCATCTCACCCCCCAACACGAATTTCTACTCACACGACTTCATTTCTTTTCACGTTATAATTCACAATTTTCTCTTAAATTTTAACATTTAATAATCCTACCTACGGTACCGAACTTTTACAGGGAACACATATATATATATATAAATAAATAAATAACAATAAACAATATTCCAATAGTAAATAAATAGGTTAAATAAATAAATAATTTAAGTGGATATAAGTGGGAATAAATTAATTTGGGCGGGTTACATAATCAATAACAGCAGTCTCAATTTTTTTGTATTCATTTTTGGCTTGTTGAATTTGTTTGCCGCTTGTAGTTTTCGAGAACCTTTTGCTAATTCTGGGTGGCAAATATAAGGGGCGAATAAAAACCTGGGGCCACCCGGGGATGAGTGGCCAATTTTCTTGTCGAAAATGTAGATCTCCTCCTGGTGGCTGGTCTTCGTCTCTCCTTACGTCAGTATATTTTCCTGATCCAGGCTTTTCCCTCACGGAATATTCTGTAAATATTTATATTTCAACTCCACTCACATTAACAAGGATTTTTTTATCACTCACTGGGTAGGAACTTGACTTCTAATCTTATATATATTTTTTTCCACCAGAACCGTCTGCGACCAACTATATTTGCCCTTTAAACACCCTTGCTTGTTTCAATTTTTCAAGCCTCTCTTCGCCCAAAAACCACTCAAACTTTTCGAATTTCAACCTTGGTTCATTTGGGAGTTATCCGGTTTAAGGAACCAGTTCCCTGACTTGTCTAAGCTGCACGACTCCCTGAACTCACGAGTCGTCGATAGTGTTGTATCGATTTTTCGCCTATCGTTATCAGTCTTAAGGTAAACAGCTTTGCTAAATTCCAATTTGTGCATATTTTTGTCGTTTAGCACATAACAAATTCTAACTGTGAACCAACATTGGGAATTGTATACAATGCTTGCCAGTTAAAAGAGTTAAATTAGATTGAGTATGGTGGTACAGATACCTGGTCATATGAAACGATTTTACTTGCGCCATCCACGAAAAATGCGTGAAGTTAGGTTTGTGAGGATTTTGAAAAATGGGTAGGAAATGTGACATTTGTTCGCCGAAGTCCGAGGGATCATAGTTCTGCGCAGAGACTCAGTGAAAATATTACTGTTGAAATCACCGGTTAAAGCAACATTTTTGTAAGTCCCTGTTAGGGCAGTCAGATTGGCAATTATCAAGAATGTATATATTTATATTTCCGACGAATCTAGTATACCCTTTTACTCTACGAATAACGGGTATAAAAAAAACGAAAAGTATGAAATTTTTTTTGATTTTGGCTTTGATTATGTATGTTATATATCAATCTAAAACATTTTATTATACCCGTTACTCGTAGAGTAAAAGGGTATACTAGATTCGTCGGAAAGTATGTAACAGGCAGAAGGAAGCGTTTCCGACCCCATAAAGTATATATATTCTTGATCAGGATCACTAGCCGAGTCGATCTAGCCATGTCCGTCTGTCCGGATGAACGCTGAGATCTCGGAAACTAGGGGAGCTAGGCTATTGAGATTTGGCGTGCAGATTCCTGAGCTTCCTACGCAGCGCAAGTTTGTTTCAGTAGACTGCCACGCCCACTCTAACGCCCACAAACCGCCCAAAACTGTGGCTCCTACAGTTTTGATGCTAGATAGAAAATTTTAACTGAAATGTAATGTTCTAATCAATACCTATCGATTGACCCAAAAAAAAGTTTGCCACGCCCACTTTAACGCCCACAAACCGCAAAACCCTGTGACGCCCACAATTTTCATGCTAGATAAAAAATTTTAACTGAAATGTATTGGTCTCGTCAATACCTATCGATTGATCCAAAAAAAAATTTGCCACGCCCACTCTAACGCCCATAACGCTTAAATCTGTATACCGCCGGTAGGTGGCGCATTTTAATCTCGCTTTGCTGCTTGCATATCTCCATTTAGCTGAGTAACGGGTATCTGATAGTCGAGGTACTCGACTATAGCGTTCTCCCTTGTTTTTAGTTTATAAAAAGTTAAATCTTTTAAGAAATAATGGCAAAAAGCTGATATTTTCTAACTATCCTAGGGAGGAACTTACATATTTTTGGTCAAAAAAATGAACTTTCTGGCCCAGTGTGAGTACTAGGCTGTACAACGAGTGGGTTTCCAATAAAACTGTCAGAAGCCGCGTAACCTATTTAAGCATTGTGGCTCCGCTAAAGTACGTCAGTTTTGTTACAATAGTGTATTGACCGTCATGCCGGCACCCCATTCCCCCAATTGCAAGCAGTTTTTCGGAATGTTTTTAGCATGTTCAGCGGACAATCAGTGTTCCAAGAAAGAGGAGATTTAAAAACACAAACCAAACTAAACATAGCGAACCGGATTCCAAACATGAATGTATCGGGGCGGGAAGTTTCAGTTAACAAGGTTTACATGTCCCTATAGAGCACGGCGATAAAAAGAGGTACGGGGTCGATTATTTGGGGAGAATCAGCTGGCTGGGATGACGGACATCACAAAGAGGGTGAGGAAGTCCTGAAAGTGGCTTAGAAAACGTTAACGGGACAGACAGAAACTACAGCTAATAGTGACAGCAATCGGGATCGCAGGATATGGGCAAGGAGGATCCTCGTCCATATGCGATTGCTGGACTGGGGAGCATCAGTGAGCTTGCTGGAAAAACGGTTTTCGGGTGCTGGTCAATAAATTGAACACCTCATGGCGACCATATCACGCAATGGTACGAAAAGCAAACGGGTCGGGGTACAATATATTGGGTGGAATCGCAGTGGCCACTACTCTTAAAATCAGAACGGTGGACATTTATCTATTCGTATCCTTACATTGGAGCCAGAGCTGTACCTGTGAGTGGACATTTGGAAAAGTTTCAACGTAGAACCGGAAGTTTTTGGAAATTGAGAAGATCCCAGCCATCCCATAAGTGGAAAACCCGCCTATAATGACCGAACCGAAACATCAGAAGCTGAGGACAACAGCAGTTGGAGGTAGTCCGGAAATACTTTCTGTCGTTTGAAGAAAATGAACTGGGGCAAACTGCGAAGATGAAGCATACCACAGAGCTGGTGCCAGGTGCCACGACCGTCAAAGGTCGTCACTATCCGGTTTATCCAGCAGAGCAGCAGCTGATCTACGGTTTATCCAGCAGAGCAGCAGCTGATCTACGAGAAAATCGATGAGATGCTCCGTTGGTGTCATAAGAGCCAGGAAAGAACCGCATAAGCTTGAATGCTAGGAAGCTCAACCAGAGGACTGTTAAGGATGCATATCCGGAACAGAACATTGAAGATATTTGGAGTAGGATGAGCACTAGGACACTCTGAGGGAAGTCTATCCATGCCCGAATGAAGCAGGTCTGACTACCGGGCTTAAGAAGTACCACTTCTGCTTTAAAGAGCTTCGGACTTTGTTATTCTTTAGTGGCATAGGAGTTTTAAAAATTGATCCTGGCAAGGTGGAGGCGATCAAAAATAAGCCGATTCAAAGAAGTTGCAAGGAGGTTTTTCCAAAATTTTGCGGAGCTGGCAGCCCCACTGACAGACAAAATGATCAAGAAGGCCATGGAAGCTATGAGGCGACTGAAGGAAGCGTTCATGACAACGGCAGTGTTGCGTCATACAGACTCTAAGAAGATATATTTTCTCCAATGCAATGCTTCGAAAAAAGCGGAGGAAGGTAAAGGCTCAACATTTTTCTTCCTGAAACTCCTTGAAATCCTTGCCAGCGAAACTATAGCGTGACGGAGGAGTGCTCCGCAATTAAACGGTTCAGACCCTACATCGAAATGATGCCGCTCACTGTAGCCTGAAATTGCTGATGTCACTTAAGAACCTTAGCGGCAAGATGGTCGCTGATTTTTTTTTTTTTAATCAATCAAGGAGCTAGGGGCGCTAGGTGACGTCGATCTAGGTGACGGTATAGGCTAGGTGTGTTAGTGAAAAAGCATAGTTGCTCCATCCCTCTCGCACTCCCTTTAACTGAGTAACGGGTAACTAATAGTCGAGGCCATCGACTGTTGCGTTTTCTTTGTTTTTAATGCACTTTAAAGAATTTGTAGTATTTATACCCGTTACTCGTAGTGTAAAAGGGTATACTAGATTCGTCGGAAAGTATGTAACAGGCAGAAGGATGCGTTTCCGACCCCATAAAGTATATATATTCTTGATCAGGATCACTAGCCGAGTCGATGTAGCCATGTCCGTCTGTTCGGATGAACGTTGAGCTCTCGGAAACTATAAGAGCTAGGCTATTGAGATTTGGCGTGCAGATTCCTGAGCTTCTTACGGAGCGCAAGTTTGTTTCAGCAATGTGCCACGCCCACTTTTACGCCCACAAACCGCCCAAAACTGTGGCTCCTACAGTTTTGATGCTAGAGTAAAATTTTTAACTGAAATGTATTCTCCTCATCAATACCTATCGATTGATCTAAAAAAAAGTTTGCCACGCCCACTCTAACGCCCACAAGCCGCCCAAACCTGTGACGCCCACAGTTTTCATGCTAGATAAAAAATTTTAACTGAAATGTATTGGTCTCGTCAATACCTATTGATTGATCCAAAAAAAATTTTTGGTCGTTTCAATGGGACCATTGTATGTACAGAGCGGTTCGATTCTTAGAAACCTAAAAAGTAATTACAGAAATATTAAGATAATGGTAAATTTTAATTAACTACCGTATATGCTTACCGAAAACGAAATATAACGGTCTTTGTGTTATTTTGACATTTATTTTCCGATCCTTTCTATGGCAGCTATATGATACAATAGTTCGATTCGAATTAAATTGAATTCTTAATTCTGAAATATTAAAAAGATAAAGTACTGGAGTGGAAGAGAATTTGATAAAAAAATAACGAAGCTATACATTTTTATACCCGTTACTCGTAGAGTAAAAGGGTATACTAGATTCGTCGGAAAGTATGTAACAGGCAGAAGGAAGCGTTTCCGACCCCACAAAGTATATATATTCTTGATCAGGATCACTAGCCGAGTCGATCTAGCCATGTCCGTCTGTCCGTCTGTCCGTCTGTCTGTCCGTCCGGATGAACGCTGAGATCTCGGAAACTATGGGAGCTAGGCTATTGAGATTTGGCGTGCAGATTCCTGAGCTTCTTACGCAGCGCAAGTTTGTTTCGGCACAGTGCCACGCCCACTCTAACGCCCACAAACCGCCCAAAACTGTGGCTCCTACAGTTTTGATGCTAGAATAAAAATTTTAACTGAAATGTATTGTTCTCATCAATACCTATCGATTGACCCAAAAAAAAGTTTGCCACGCCCACTTTAACGCCCACAAACCGCGAAAACCTGTGACGCCCACAATTTTCATGCTAGATAAAAAATTTTAACTGAAATGTATTGGTCTCGTCGATACCTATCTATTGATCCAAAAATAAATTTGCCACGCCCACTCTAACGCCCATATCGCTTAAATCTGTATACCGCCGGTAGGTGGCGCATTTTAATCTCGCTTTGCTGCTTGCATATCCTTATATAGCTGAGTAACGGGTATCTGATAGTCGAGGTACTCGACTATAGCGTTCTTCCTTGTTTGATATTATTTTCCCCTTAATTATCGGATAGATCCTATGGTAGCTATATGATACAGTCGTCCGATTTCTTTTTAAGTTGTATTCAAAATTCTGAAATATTTAAACAATGATATTACCAAGAGTATAAGTTGTATTTTTTGTTAGATTTTTTAAAAATTATTTTTTGTTTATCATTATTATTGGAGCAACAGTGTGTAGTTTTCCGATCTGGCTCGTTCCGACTTATATTCTATTCTATCTGCAATAGAAATAAAACTTTCAGTCCACCGCGGATACCCAACAAATTGTTGGCATATGAGTGTGCTGCGAGATGTTGTTTTAGTTGTTTTTAATTTAAATTGTAATGCCAACGTGCAGCTTACTGTATTGTTAAATGTTGAGCCTCCGTTCATGTGAGTCGACGTTATATTTATCGTTGTAGCGGGTCCTGGATTTAGCTAGCCTGGCAAAAGCTCACAGAAACACACAGGTTACTATAATCTCCCCTTTGGGAGATCGTTCATTAATAGAGGGTCCCTAAGATAAAAAGTGTTTGCGTGGTGGATAAGCATATACCTTTTAAGCTCGACTAAGCAACGGAGTTGACTTGCGATATGTAATGCAAAGAAACATTTTTACCATATGTGATATAAGCCTATGATATAGCCATATTTAAGTATATAGATATAATAAATATAGATTTTATGGATTAACAAGACCGAGACAGAAAGTAGCCGACGACTATGTCAGATATTTTAAACTGGCATATCGCAATCAGCAAAAAGGATGAAGTTAACAGCGACATGGCTAATTCGCGCGAGTTAACAAAATAATATCAGACAGACACGGACGGTTAGGGAATCTACAGATTTAAGATACTCATTGCGTCTTGTTATTATTAATATTATTTATTTATCTTTCTAGCGCTAAAGTTAAAAATATAACTTAAATATAAAACACTAGTCACAAGAAAAGATTTACAGTCTTACAGAAAGTTTTACAAAAATTACTTTAACATACACGTTTTGATTATTTTATAGGTAATGGTTATCAATAGTACAATTTTCAATTCTTATTTAGTATAATGTTGAATGTATAATTAGTTGTGTGTGAATGGGGGCTAGTTATTTTTTAACTTTAATAATAATTCTTTTCGAAACAGTCTAGCACTTCTTGAATTCTTTAAACTGTGTGGTAAATTATTCCAAAGCTTAACAGCCCATGCAAAGAAGTGATTTTCTCGAGGAGTAGTGGTTTCTTGTTGGTATTATACTATTAGTTCTGGTTGACAGTGCAAGGTGACTATTTTGTGGAAAGGAATCGGTGTCCTAAATTCGACTAATGTGGAAAAGTCTAGTCCAAAGATTTTTTTAGCATAACTCGAAATTGAATCGTGTGGCTTAGTATTGAAAACAAATCTTGCTTTGTTGTTGTATGTTACGGTCAATTTATTTCTACTTATTGAGTCACACTTTTCAAATATTTGAACGCAATATAATAATGATGGAATTATAATCGACTTTGCTAATGCCATTACTATGGGTTGGTAACATGTTCTGGATCAGTTTTATTTGCTATAGTTGACAACAAGTCTTACCAACCATATAATTAATATGGTGGGACCACTAAAGGGTACTGTTAAACACAATTCCAAGGTTATTTGCTTGACTTACATATTTAATCTCATCAGTATCAACCCTGAGTATTTGCATTGGTGCGTTTATTTATTTTTTAGAAATAACCAAACATTTAGATTTTTTTGGATTTATTTGCTCAATTGCTTACTAGTTTAAGTTCAGTATTAATGACGTCAATACATATACATATACAATATGTTTTCAGATATACAGCTATAGGGACGGCTCACATACATATTTGCATATCGTCAGCATACATCTGCACTTCACAATTAGACCAGACATTTGGAAGATCATTCACATATATCGAAAACAGTAATGTTCCAAGGAACGACCCTTGGGGGACACCGCGCTTAGTGAATAGAACGCCGGAGGTCTCAGACTCCTTTACAAAACATTGAGATCGGCCCATTAGGTATGTTCTTATCAAGCTTATAGCTTGAAAAATTGTATAGTTTTTCTATTCTATTGCAAAATGTCGAAAGCCTTACTATAGTCTAGCAGTGTATGAAATGTAACTTGCCTATTATCAGATTTCATGCGAATATCCTATGAGATTTTTAAGATTGCTGTTTTACAACTACGGTTTTTCCGAAAGCGATGTTGTCTTGTATTCAACAGTGAATTATCGTGAAGATACATATTAATTTGTGTGGAGACTAGTAGCTTAAGTGCTTTAGATAAAAATAAAAGTATAGATATCGGTCTATATTCACCCTTTGTTTTTGGTATGGGAAGTAGTTTGGCTGTCTTCCAACATTTTAGAAATGTAGAAGATGTTATTGCGGTATTTAAAATGTGTATTATGTTAAGAGTAGCCTGGAGACAAGGACTAGTAAAAATTTTGGATTTTATTCTTAACATGGACTGTAGGACATCACACTTGTTGTATGGCAATGTGCTCAAGTACGGATTGTAAGTTTAATCAGGTACTTAAGGTTGTGATTTTACAAGTGTGTTATTTAATTCATCAGCATTAATGTGGCAAGCTGTCCCTTCTCGTTGTTTTTCTACTCCAATACTTGTAATATTCTTCCAGAATTCTTTTCCAGATGACTCATTATTGAATTTCTGTTGATAGAATTTCCTTACAGCTATCCAGCATGACTTATTTACTTCTATTCTGAAGGAACTGTATTGCTTGTCCAAGTATTCTGTTTTGTAGCGTTTCCACTTTCTATAGGCCCTATCACACGCATTTATGGTATTTTGTATTTCCGTGCTAATCCATGGGTGCTCACTCGGCTTAGAAACTCAATGTTACTGTTAAAGAATTTGTCGTGTCCTGCTTTTCGCGCAGTGTAGATGACGGCTAGTCAACGAACATCCCAGGGAGGGGAACAACCAACAATGTTGTCTACGCAGCAGACACAACAAAAACAAAAACGGAAATTCAAACTCGGACAACGGCAATTTCACGACGAATTTCTCTTGAACATCTGGAACTGGACAACACAGCTCTTATTGTGGTCCTGGAGTCCCTGCCAACCATGAGTGTATCCTTAAACATCCTTTGGACACATCTCCCAAACCTGTTCGGTGGATCGTGCTACCTCGCCTAACTCATCTCACCCCCCAACACGAATTTCTACTCACACGACTTCATTTCTTTTCACGTTATAATTCACAATTTTCTCTTAAATTTTAACATTTAATAATCCTACCTACGGTACCGAACTTTTACAGGGAACACATATATATATATATATATAAATAAATAAATAACAATAAACAATATTCCAATAGTAAATAAATAGGTTAAATAAATAAATAATTTAAGTGGATATAAGTGGGAATAAATTAATTTGGGCGGGTTACATAATCAATAACAGCAGTCTCAATTTTTTTGTATTCATTTTTGGCTTGTTGAATTTGTTTGCCGCTTGTAGTTTTCGAGAACCTTTTGCTAATTCTGGGTGGAAAATATAAGGGGCGAATAAAAACCTGGGGCCACCCGGGGATGAGTGGCCAATTTTCTTGTCGAAAATGTAGATCTCCTGGTGGCTGGTCTTCGTTTCTTTTCCTGATCCAGGCTTTTCCCTCACGGAATATTCTATAAATATTTATAACTCCACTCACATTAACAAGGATTTTTTTTATCACGCACTGGGTAGGAACTTGACTTCTAATCTTATATATATTTTTTTCCACCAGAACCGTCTGCGACCAACTATATTTGCCCTTTAAACACCCTTGCTTGTTTCAATTTTTCAAGCCTCTCTTCGCCCAAAAACCACTCAAACTTTTCGAGTTTCAACCTTGGTTCATTTGGGAGTTATCCGGTTTAAGGAACCAGTTCCATGACTTGTCTAAGCTGCACGACTCCCTGAACTCACGAGTCGTCGATAGTGTTGTATCGATTTTTCGCCTATCGTTATCAGTCTTAAGGTAAACAGCTTTGCTAAATTCCAATTTGTGCATATTTTTGTCGTTTAGCACATAACAAATTCTAACTGTGAACCAACATTGGGAATTGTATACAATGCTTGCCAGTTAAAAGAGTTAAATTAGTTTGAGTATGGTGGTACAGATACCTGGTCATATGAAACGATTTTACTTGCGCCATCCACGAAAAATGCGTGAAGTTAGGTTTGTGAGGATTTTGAAAAATGGTTAGGAAATGTGACATTTGTTCGCCGAAGTCCGAGGGATCATAGTTCTGCGCAGAGACTCAGTGAAAATATTACTGTTGAAATCACCGGTTAAAGCAACATTTTTGTAAGTCCCTGTTAGGGCAGTCAGATTGGCAATTATCAAGAATGTATATATTTATAGGGTCGGAAACGCTTCCTTCTGCCTGTTACATACTTTCCGACGACTCTAGTATACCCTTTTACTCTACGATTAACGGGTATAAAAAAAACGAAAAGTATGCAATTTTTTTTTGATTTTGGCTTTGATTATGTATGTTATATATCAATCTAAAACATTTTATTTTTAGTTTATAAAAAGTTAAATCTTTTAAGAAATAATGGCAAAAAGCTGATATTTTCTAACTATCCTGGGGAGGAACTTACATATTTTTGGTCAAAAAAATGAACTTTCTGGCCCAGTGTGAGTACTAGGCTGTACAACGAGTGGGTTTCCAATAAAACTGTCAGAAGCCGCGTAACCTATTTAAGCATTGTGGCTCCGCTAAAGTACGTCAGTTTTGTTACAATAGTGTATTGACCGTCATGCCGGCACCCCATTCCCCCAATTGCAAGCAGTTTTTCGGTATGTTTTTAGCATGTTCAGCGGGCAATCAGTGTACCAAGAAAGAGGAGATTTAAAAACACAAACCAAACCGGATTCCAAACATGAATGTATCGGGGCGGGAAGTTTCAGTTAACAAGGTTTACATGTCCCTATAGAGCACGGCGATAAAAAGAGGTACGGGGTCGATTATTTGGGGAGAATCAGCTGGCTGGGATGACGGACATCACAAAGAGGGTGAGGAAGTCCTGAAAGTGGCTTAGAAAACGTTAACGGGACAGACAGAAACTACAGCTAATAGTGACAGCAATCGGGATCGCAGGATATGGGCAAGGAGGATCCTCGTCCATATGCGATTGCTGGACTGGGGAGCATCAGTGAGCTTGCTGGAAAAACGGTTTTCGGGTGCTGGTCAATAAATTGAACACCTCATGGCGACCATATCACGCAATGGTACGAAAAGCAAACGGGTCGGGGTACAATATATTGGGTGGAATCGCAGTGCCCACTACTCTTAAAATCAGAACGGTGGACATTTATCTATTCGTATCCTTACATTGGAGCCAGAGCTGTACCTGTGAGTGGACATTTGGAAAAGTTTCAACGTAGAACCGGAAGTTTTTGGAAATTGAGAAGATCCCAGTCATTCCATAAGTGGAAAACCCGCCTATAATGACCGAACCGAAACATCAGAAGCTGAGGACAACAGCAGTTGGAGGTAGTCCGGAAATACTTTCTGTCGTTTGAAGAAAATGAACAGGGGCAAACTGCGAAGATGAAGCATACCATAGAGCTGGTGCCAGGTGCCACGACCGTCAAAGGTCGTCACTATCCGGTTTATCCAGCAGAGCAGCAGCTGATCTACGAGAAAATCGATGAGATGCACCGTTGGTGTCATAAGAGCCAGGAAAGAACCTCATAAGCTTGAATGCTAGGAAGCTCAACCAGAGGACTGTTAAGGATGCATATCCGGAACAGAACATTGAAGATATTTGGAGTAGGATGAGCACTAGGACACTCTGAGGGAAGTCTATCCATGCCCGAATGAAGCAGGTCTGACTGGCATAGGAGTTTTAAAAATTGATCCTGGCAAGGTGGAGGCGATCAAAAATAAGCCGATTCAAAGGAGTTGCAAGGAGGTTTTTCCAAAATTTTGCGGAGCTGGCAGCCCCACTGACAGACAAATTGATCAAGAAGGCCATGGAAGCTATGAGGCGACTGAAGGAAGCGTTCATGACAACGGCAGTGTTGCGTCATACAGACTCTAAGAAGATATATTTTCTCCAATGCAATGCTTCGAAAAAAGCGGAGGAAGGTAAAGGCTCAACATTTTTCTTCCTGAAACTCAATCCTTGCCAGCGAAACTATAGCGTGACGGAGGAGTGCTACGCAATTAAACGGTTCAGACCCTACATCAGGGTTAAGGAGAACTTTCAGTGAACGGTCGTGTTTTTGTCTTGCGCTCCGAATTTTTGTTCTTTTTGTCCATAAACCATCGGGGTTTAATTCATATTTTCATACGTCTATATAACTTTTTATGTCCCTAACAACATCCGTTCGCTTCGCGAGTGCATAGTGATTGTTTTGTGTTTAAATTAACAAAATTAGTTTGCACGTCTAATCTCTGTGCAGTGTTTGTTGTTATAGTTTTTTTCTAATTGCTTTCTTCTTTTCTTCCAAACGCTGTTTGGAGCGGTAAGTGTCTAAACGGTAGTTACCTTGTTTTTGGAACATCTAAAACTTACGCTCCCCCAGCTTACTTACTCCCGCTCATTCTCTCCCGCTCTCTAACTCTCTCTTTTACTTGCGTAGCTTTATTCTCTTTGCACTGTGGTTCGGAATATCGCGATAATGGCTGTCTGCAATTTAAAGAAATGCAAGTCGTTAATTTCGGCTGGACAACAGAGCATTCCGCGCCATTCGTGTGAGAATATTTTTCATGCAAAATGCCTTGGCTATTCGGGCCTGGTACGCGATGCAATCGACATGAGAAGTGGCTTGCGCTACTATTGTGATGAATGCATTGCTTATGAAACCCAGGCACTCTCTATAAGGCGGCTTACAAAAAGCACTGTTACGGAATTAATCCGGAACAGCCGTAAAAATACGGATCTGCTTGTGGCGCTTGAGTCGCAGCTCACTAGCCGTATGCTATCTGAGCCCGATTCTCCTAAACGTAAAAAGATCGCGGTCGATAGACAACCCACGGTAGCCGCTAGTGTAACTCTCTCTGGCGATCCGGGGTCTGCAGCACAGCAGTCGATCTCAGCCGCCGCACAAATGGTACTGAGATCGAAAGCTAAAAAAGATTCGGTTTCCGAATGCAAAGGACGCGAGATTTTGCCGCATGAGACGCCCGAAAAATCTGCTATAAGCAATACTTTAATAATTCCAACGCCGCATGTTGACTTAACGTCCGGAGTACCGAATGAAACTGGTAGTGCAGTAAATGCCGTAGTACCTAAAACAGTCACCTGTGTACCGCAGCGGAAACAAATTTTTGTTTCTCGGCTAAATCCTGACCTTTCATCGCTGGACATTACGGCCTATATCCGTAACAAAGTTCAGATTGATGATCTAAAGGTTGAACGATTTAATTTTCCATATGCTAGGGAAGTATCATCTTTTAAGATCGGTGTTCCCTGTGCTCATTTTGCAACTATGTGCTCAGCCAATTTTTGGCCTGTTGGCATTTTTGTTAAAGAGTACGAAGCTAAAAAAAAGAAAATTCGTTCAAAGGAAGTTGGAAATCCCTTTAAAGAGCCATCCACATCTACATCCTCATCTATCTCAAAAAACTAGATTCTTTTCTTCAGCTTTATTATCAGAATACAAGAGGTTTACAAAGTAAGTTGACCAAATTGTATACTGATAGTTTTTCCTTGTCTTCCCATGTTATTGTTTTTACTGAAACCTGGTTAAAACCGGAAGTTCTAAGTTCCGAAGTTTTTCCAAGTAAGTACACAACTTACAGGCTTGATCGTCCGTCCCGACGTGGAGG